CCGCCTGTCTCTTATACACATCTAGATGTGTATAAGAGACAGCCCCCCGAACCCCCAATCCCCAATAATCATCAATTCGTTGTGCCATTTCGTAAACTGGATTTTGTCGAATTTTATCCTCAAATTCAAATCCCTGGATTGACCAGCACGCAGTTTCCAGCACCCGATCATTCCTCTTAAACAATCAATCAATAGCACTCAAAAAGCTTCAAAGCTTGAAATTCAAACTGCAAACCAGAGTGCTAATTTGTAGTTACTGTTAATTTGTGTTAAATTATCTACATAATAGTATATGATAATATATTAATTTAAATTATTTAATGAAATTTAATCTAAATTAATTTGTGCTGACTTTCTCAGTTTTAAATCCTCCAAGCACTTCCAAACAACAATGATAAAAAAAAAACTAACGTCGCATTTTTTGAACTAGGCGCACAGCAGAAATCTCCACACAAAAAAAAGAGAACTGGGGTTAGTAGGGTAACAGTAGCGATTCAAAAATAAATATAAACTACCAACTGGCCTAGCTCAGTTGGTACACCCCTGAACTGAGTCAAATAAGTCAAATAGTACAATCTTGAATTACCTAGGGCCAGTCATTTTGATGATCATATCTCCGGTGCCCTTTTTTTTTTTAAATAGATATAAACCTAGGCTGGTCCCCAGGCGGCCCGGCTGGGGGAAGGTTGCCTGGTACCCTCCCGGGAGGCCCGGGCCGGGCAGTGACCAGGCAGGGTCCCGGGGCAGCCCCAGCACATAATATTGAAAAAAATAAAAAATTCAAAAAAAAAAAATCTGGAAAAACAATATGTTGTATAAAATTGCAGTACAAGCAACTTTTGGCGGAGGGTCCCCTCAAAACTCCTTATTAATTTTCGGATAAAAAGAAATGAAGAGAAGTGAGGTAAGATATACCGTTTTAAACCCCTCTAGTCACTGTTTGAGTAACTTTACACCCCCCAAACACTCCTGGGTGACCCACCACCGAAATGGAAGGTAAGGCCGGATTCTGACTGCTCAGGCCGAGCGCAGTCCTGGCCTGAGGTCAGTTTCTTTTTTTTGGAGATCTTTCCTTCTTTTTTGACCCGCCTGGTTTTGCCGGGCGATCCCCCCCGGCCCAGCTGGCCCGGGCATGCCTGGCCGGGCGACGGCCCAGCCTAGATATAAACTATTATAAAGTTACAAACACTATCAAACAGTCTGTCAAAGCGCCTCATCTGTTGTCCTCTTCTCCCTCTCTGCCTACTGTTTACAGGGCAGTTCTGTTTGACGATATGTATTTAAAAAAAGAGAAATTCAAAAGGGACAGGTGGCCCTGGCCATCCTGGGACTATAATCAGAACCCCCCACTAGCAGAGACCTGGTCCAAATACAGCCCAGTTGTCTGGCAGGAACCCAGACAAACTTTCGTCCAGATACAGACAGAGCGAGGATACATTCAACGTACCTGGTACCAGAGGTCCTGGAGTCCGTCATGCGATGTGGGGGCGGGCACAAGTGACGTCATTGATGAAGGCGCTGGCGGTGGTAGAGGTGGAGGCGGAGGAGGGATCGGCACGACTGCCCCCGTTGTGACAGCTCTCTTTGGCACCATCGCGGATTTCGTACTAGTAGCAGCGGTAATCGGTGTACTTGTCGCCGTGCTATTCTGCCAATAGTCCATACTAACTCCAAGTGTCGTCGTGGGGCCCCCATTGCCTGCGGCGACTATACTCCCTGACCTTGTGCTTCCATGCCCAGGAACGCTTGCTGAAGCTGCTAGATCAATGAGTTGTGCACACACACACACACACACACACACACACACACACACACACACACACAGACGCACACACACACACACACACAAAAAAAAAAAAAAAAAAAAAAAAAATCATATCATTTTTTCGATTTTTTTTTTCTTTTCCCATTGTGGCTGCTTAAGATCCTGGCCCCTGGGGAAGGGGTCCAGCCTGGATGAGTGATAGGGCGTGCGTGTCAGAGCAGGTGGCACAGAAAAGTAACCACTGCTGTCATCTTTTCGAAAAAATATTTCGCATCAGAGACTAAGGAAACCCACCAAGAAGCTCAGTTAAAGTGCATACTTCTACTCAGATGTTCTGGACTGAACATGGTCATAGTTTCTGTTATACATACGCCCGAGAACTCTTATTGTGTGTCCCGTACATCCGTTAAATTTGGAACGATACAGAGATGAATAGCATGGCCCCTGCGCAACGATGACAAGCATAAATCGAGAAATGGTCCAATTTATTTCCTGAAGAAAAAAAAAGAAAAAAAGCAAAAATACAAAAGAACTCTTATTGTGAGTGTTTTGCAAGCTATATACAAGGATTCAGAGAAACATCCGATTTCTGATCCTATGGGATGACTCAGGAATTTGAAATTTCGTTTCATAACTTTATTTAGATTTTGAACTTGTTTTTCAAATGTGCAATTTCACAACATGACGAATTTGCACACGAGATGCACTCCACACGATATGAGAACACTTCACACAAATTCCGTGCAATTCAAGTCTTTTACAACAAAGCCTCTTGTATGCACACTTGGGCATTGGGCAGCAATAGCTCCTGTCACTCTCAAATGGGTGTGCCTCTCATTCACTGTCTCTCTTCCTACTCCACCCTCAATAACAGCTCACACTTTCTTAATGATCTGTACGCCGCTGTGCTAGATGTTTGCAACCACACCACTGCAACAATGTGGTGAATACCTAGGACTTACCATAAATAAAATAAAATAAAGGTACCGATAGCTTGTCCGTAGGTAAATGTTCTCTCTCTCTCTCTCTCTCTCTCTCTCTCTCTCTCTCTCTCTCTGCATCTCTCTATTTCCCTCCCCCCACCATAACTTTCAGACAGGGCTGCCTCTCGTTCACTCTCTCTTCCTTTTCTACCCTCAGGCCTCTCTCTCTCTCTCTCTCTCTCTCTCTCTCTCTCTCTCTCTCTCTCTCTCTCTCTCTCTCTGTGTGTGTGTGTGTGTGTGTCTCTCTCTCTCTCTGTGTGTGCCCCCAAGGCTCTACGACGTGTGTTAAGACTTCGCTGCTGACAGAGTTTTGTACTCGCTGCAGTTCTCAATTTTGAATTTTCGGCTTTTCCGGACAAGTACCCTTCTATGTCGGCCGCGGTCAGCTCCTGATGCTTCAGGATTTTTCACGGACTTTCCTCTGCCTCAGCCGGGACTGGACTGAGACAGTCCGGCAGACCACCTTTTTTTAATGAAAAAAAGAAAACAAAGCTCCAATCTATTCGTAAGGAGCAGCACATGCTGGGAACCTGGCCCAGCGTCCCTTATGAAAATGAACATCGTACTGGAGCATTTGGAAATCCTTCCCCTCCGACAGACCACTATCGACTTGGCCTACCAAATTTGGGATTATGGTACATGGCACTCTGGGACTTAGGATAAGATTTGAGGGCTTAGACACTAAGACGTGTGAAATCCTTTTCAAATATTTTGATATTTTGGTTCCTTGAAAGAAGTAAAAAAAACTGCCATCTAAAAAGGAAATCTAAAACAGAAAAAAAGTTAAGAAATTAAAAAAAAAACAAAAATCCTGCTATTTTTACGACTGAGGAAAAAGAAGAAGAACAAGAACAACAACAACAACATTTGATGCAGATCACAAGGTTCTAGTACCTTTTTTTTTTTTTATGTCGACCATTCCTGGGTGACCTTGTTTGACCGGGCAGCCCGGCCGTGCAAGGACCACAGAAGAGCGCAGTCAAAAAAAAAAAAAAAAAAAAAAAACGAAAAAAAAACTATGTGATGCAGAAAAATGAAGTGCACAACTTTCGCCTCAGGGTCACATCGAAATTCTTTACCAAATTTAAAATAAAAATGACTGATTTTTTCACTTTGCGAGGAACGAGCCCTCATGGGGCCCCTATCAGTCATACACATGTCTCGGGCAGAGGGCCCCAGCAAGCACAGTGCCCGCCCTAAGTGAAGGCGGGCCTGAATATTCATCAGAGGCCAAAATTCGACATTTTTGTGTATGGGAATTCAGGCTGTTGCAGCCCGCTAGTTGGTGGAGTGGACGCGCAGGCCTCACTAAGATGCGTCATACAGTTGGCCCAGGCCTTGGCAGTTGCGCCTGGGCACATACAAACAAAGCAGGGCCGATACATCATGAAGTGGCCACTGGCCTATGCAAAAGCAGTATATTGTCGACGTACCTACCCCGTGGTCCTGTGCAAGTGCAGCAAACACAGCCCAAGTCCGGAGACTCAGACCGTGCCCAAGTGAAAAGGGCCCAGGCCCTCAACTGTAGTCTCGGGCGTGGGCGCAGGAACTGAGGCCCAACCGGAAGCTACTGGACGCTTCCAGCCAGGCCACAAGCAGCATCCAGGAGGCTGCCACTTCCATATAGGAAGTAAGGAAGCCCAGGCCAAGCATTCTGGCTCACGCAGGCAATGCGGTCCCGCTGCTGCGCTGCTGCATTGGATGCTGCGTTGCGGCCAGTGCGCTGGCGGGGCGCATTGAGGTGAAGTGGGGCGCTGCAGGGCAGCGGAGCGCAGGCAGCCATAGCCGTGCTGCCGGGCGCTAGGGGGTAAGGGGGCGATCAGGTGGTCTTCAGGGAAGGAGGAGAGTGTGTGGGTTATCAAGGTCTGATGAGGGTGATGAGATACATACCCGGTGCATGAAGAGAGGTCGGTTATGGTGTTGACATCATGTACATTAGTCTTTGAGAGTCGAAGTGAGCCTGTTGCGTGAACACAGCTGTAGGTAGGATAGTCGAGTAGGGTAGACGCTAGACGCTGGGCGCCAGACAGAGAGGAACGACTTTGGATACTGTGTTGGTGTGGCCTGAGGGCTTGAACATTGGCTCATTACTTCATTGTATTGCTCTATTTGGATGGATTTTCGGTGCAATTGTGCTCTCTGCTTGCACATGACTACTTGGACATCTGTGTGATTTCACAACTTGGTTTTCTGTATATTGTTCGCACTCATATTCCTTGCAACTTCCTATCAAGGAGTTAAATTTAGAGAATTTTAGACTTTAAAAATGACTAAATTTTTCACTTCCTATCAAGAAGTTAAATTTTGACTCAAAATGATTGAACGACATCAGAGCCCTGAAAGAACAGCAAAAAAGCAGCAACAACAACAACAACAAAGACGGCGCCCTGCACTTGGTCCATTCTGCTGCTCGAGTACATACAACAAGAAACCTGCACTTGGTCCCACTGTGTGCTCAAGAACAGACACCACACATACCTTCCGCACTATTCTGATCGTATGTTCTCTTTCTGTAAGCCAGCGATCCCTGAACAGCAAAAATCCAAATCCAAATACAATGATCCGTTGTGGGTTATTAACTTATTATTCTTTTACCACTTTTTAAAGTTTTTTTATATTTCTACAATTTTTGTTACTCGTTAATAAGTCATTAGTCCTCATTACTACTTTAATTGGTCCATTACACGTTCACTGGTCACACTCAATCCAATCATCGCCAAATCCGAATTTCAGAAAATTTCACCAAATCCGAGTTTTATACTGCTCGATGCAAGTCTGCTTGGAAAGGGGAAACAACTTCAAATTCCGAAAAGTATGGGCCTCGCTCCACTATTCTCGGCATGCACAAAAGACAAAAATCATGGCAGTGTATCTTTCAATGTTCTAGAGGACGATTCACTCTCGTTTTGCACATTTTGAGAGGAGTGGAGCGAGGCCGTATTTCTTCAGGCGATAGCAGAGTGATATGTTCTACGATACAGAAAGAAAAATAAAATGAGAAAACAAAATTTAACAAATTCAAAACATCATTAACAACTTAACATACAACCATTTTTGGAAATTGTTAATTAATTTTGTGAGTTTTTTTTGGGGGGGTAATTCATGCTCACCCTTTGGTGCTGAATCGAGGAAGAAATCATGACGAATGCCCAGATGCAATGAACCTACCGCCAGGAGCTCTCATCGTCATCATCATCATCGTCACGCTTGTACTGGCAAAACTCAACCGCACGACAACTCAGGAAAAGAGAGGGCAATAGGGCCTCGCTCCACTACTCGACATTAGACATCATTTCCCTCACACACCGCCTCACAGCTCTCGATGCCGCTAACCCAAGTCGATTCTCCCACACACCTATGAATAACATGATAATCAACATCAACATCAGGATCGGCCTTCTGAAGCACCGGGCTATCTCCAGCTATGGCGACCACCCCGGCCACCTGCCAGTTGGTAAGTCTCAGGCAAGCCTCTCTCTCCACAGGTTCTGGCCTCTCCTTCATACCTCTCTCTTCTCTCCCTCACTCTCCCAACTGGCTAGGTATGGGAACCACCACTCACTCTCCCTCTCCGGCTTTGCCTGCCAGTAACTCCCTCTCTCTCTTCTGACCCTCCATAGCTGCTACCTCATTCCTCTTGTCCTAGAGAAAGAGAGAGAGAGAGAGAGAGAGAGAGAGAGAGAGAGAGAGAGAGAGAGAGAGAGAGAGAGAGAGAGAGAGA